CCCCCCCACATCCTCCCGGCACTAGTCACTTGCTCGCTGGTTTGTGCTCTGTAAGTTTAAGGCGTGAGGATCGTTATGCTTGACCGATTTATCGAAGACTGTAGTTCTAACAGTTAAACTTGTGAATCGCGTATCCGCTGTCTTTTTTGGTGGAACACCATTTTTCGGAGGAAGTAGTGATCGAAGTCACCTTTCCATTTGAAAGCGACGCCGATGTTTACAGAATTTAAAATCCTGCTGTCAAATATAGGCAAACCTTTGATGTACCGAATGCGTATGATGTTGGCCCGCTTTATGTTATGGTTTTCTCGAGTTATAGGTCTAGGCTTTGCCGCCCTTTTCACAAAGTTCCTCGGATAACCATTGCTTTCTAATATTTCGTACAGACGTTTCGTTTCTGTTCGAAATGCGGTTTGTGTATGCGCGGAACAGGAATTTTAAGCTCTGACCAAAAGCATTATGACACTCTGGCATTTGTTGCCTCAGATGTGATTTGAGTTGAAGATCATGCACTGGCTAGTGCGAATTAGTTTTCGATACATCGACATTTCAGACAAGGCATTGGGTAGACGATTTATTTGCCAGTCAAGGGACAGAATTATTCCGTTTCGCTCTCCTTCAATGTTGTACACCTAATTGACGGTGCTATGCTGTTTCAGGTGGTCCAGAAACGTGTCGAAGCTCTCATTCAGCATATAACGAATGTGCCTCGATGTGCTTGCCGATGAGGTAGCCAGGACAATTTCCTCAGATTTCTCCACACCTATGTTAGCAATTACCGGAGAAATCTTTGAACCCATCTCTACTACTCTGCCTGTTTGTTGATACATCGTTCCATTGAATAGGAACCAGGTAATACTCAAGCAGATCACTGGTCAACGCGTGCGCTTCGGATGCTGGTAAAAAGTGGTGACATGTCAAAACTGATCATTGGTTCATCTTTTTTGATGTATTCATGGACAACTTTTGAATAAAGTCAGTAGAATTCTACATGGCAGAGTTTGTCTGTTACACTAGGAGTTCTTATAAACTCGTAAGCGGTTTCGCGAAGCTGGCTTTGAAGTACAGTACACGGTTGGTCATAAAGATACACTGACTATGTAAGCTTCTGATAGTCCATATATTCTGGGTGCTTGGTTAGTTTTGAGGTTACAAGAGAAGAGTGTTTGCTTATCCAGCACGACCCTCATTCATGTGACTGGACTCGTCTGCCAATCGACCGTTTCGTTTCCTTCTACAGATCGTCTCGAGTCATTTTTGGATGCAGCCCTCTCTGCTCATTACAACACCGTGTTCCGTACATCAGCGGGAGTAACTGTCAGCAAGCTGTCATGCTACAAACTCCAAAGTGCCTGTGACTGTTCTATGGTGACGTTAATCCTGATCTTCTGAATTTTCCTGACCACGCCAACGATTCCTCCTCGTATCTCTTTGGCTAAATCCTCCTCATTATACCATAAATGGGTGATATGAATTCTGTGCGCAGCGCCTTCTTTGAAATCACGAAGTTAACAGATGTGCAGATGTCTCTGCACTGGTCATCACGTTGTTTGATAAGTTCACAATCCATCTGTTCTCCAATGGCACCTTTGCCATATTTCGAATCTTCCATTTGCCGGCCGTGTCGTTCCAATTTATTTGAGTGCCTTTCTTTCGTAGAAACATATTATTGGTTGGATAAATAAACGCATACATCGTACGTCTTTTTCATGTCATCATTTGCTACGGTGGATTTGATGTTTCTTCGGCTGCAACAAGTGCGCTGCCTACAGATTGTCCTCGAGTTATGATCATTCGGCTTACAATTTTTCGATCTTACTGTACCGATTATGATAGAACAAAATTAGAAAATTATTTTCGGTTTCACAAGAAGAAGAACAGCTGAGCATAGGCGTATGCCATACGATAGTTCTGATACGCTTGAGAGGCTGCTGCCGGCAGCATCACATCACTTATCGCGTGGTCTGCCTCACTCTCCAAAGATCTAACTCTTAATGAGATTGTGATCCAAGAAATATTTACCCTTTGTGTTATTTTGTGCACAAAACTTGTGCTTTTTTCTATAAGAATGGCCCTAAGACGTGGTAATGTTACTCCTGGAGAAGAAGAAAGTCATTACCATTGCCATTTACAATATTGTCGATTTACAGTGTATTAAACTGTACTAAAATTTATTGCTACAAAGCACATTGCAGATGTATGTACTTTACCATAATACAGTTTCAAAGGTTTATTAATTACCTTTATGATATTTACCGCATTACAAATAGCAGGTTACAGGGTTTGTTAAATTAAACTCGAAACTATGCTGTACATTATGCTATAACACTATACATTACAGTATAACTATGTCATACATTACATTGTCTTCGTCTATACCCGTCGTTCAGTCGTACCCTACTTACAATATTTTGGTCTTACCGATTCTTACGATTATCAGAAGGTAACGCCATCGTAAATCGGGGACTACCTGTACTTGCCGTAATTTCCTGATCACCTACTAGTCGACCCGGAGGGTTCAGTGTCTAACAAACAGTCTGGCGGCTTAGTCTTTAACTTCTTCTGTCCCACAAGCGTCAGCCTGAGCGTAAACAACGGAATTAATGTAAATATGTAGACGACCATGCGACGGTTTATATATAGAGATAGGTTAAGTGATAATCCGCTAAAGCCGCGTTTGTTTCCGATTTTAGCTGAAGCATGAATCAGTTTTGGTTTATGCAGGTATACACTGTACTGCGAGTCAAAATGGCATGGACTGCTTTATACCATATGCACGGAATGTCATTCGGGACATTGCGTAAATGTTTTATTGAAGTCAGTTAAATTTCAACCTGAACATCCAAAATTTATTTGATTCGACGATTCTGAGACTGAAACAATTCAAGAAAGTTTGCAATACTCATTTTAGGCTGCTAATTGTCGAAACAATCCCAGACAATGTGACATTTGGTACGACCAAGTTACCTGAAAGCACCTTCGAAGCATGGAAGAAGCTTATTGAAAATGCCAGGCACAAAATCAGCATCGCCGCTTATAAATCCAGTCTCACTGGTAAAAGCTTGACCAGTGAGAGGAGTCTGGATATCTCACTGGCAAGAAGCGCTAGTTTCCACTTTTCTGTTGATCACTGACTTCAGTTCTTATAAGGGAAGGCAAATCTACGATCTTCTAGTGGAGGCAAAAAAGAAAAGAGGAATCGAAATTCGGATGGTTGAAAATTATCCTTCGAAAGACGTCGGCGACAACGAAGACGGAATAATTCTAGAAAAACACGGTATGTGCTGACGATTACATAGAGCAATAAAAATATGCGTATGAACCTGGTAGATTTACAATTATCCTAAAATGTATCTTAGATATTTAATAGTTCTGTTAGAAACAACATAAAAAGTAAATAAGGTAGACAAAGACGGATTGAGTAAGACAAAGGATTTGTTGGCTGAATGTTGCACTGGAGTTCAGATGTTTGAGAAAGCCTTGGTGTATAGCTGCTGCATCTTCAGACTGAGGAGTTACAACTGCGAAGGTTTGGGCAACTGTTGCAAATGCTGCCAGAAAGAAAAGCAAAGCAACCACTACTTGCCCAACCAACCGGAGGAAGACAATGGTCAAGAATAATTTGGTAC